GGATAGGAGAGCACCTGAGATGGCATATAATGAATTTCAAGAATAGTATAGATGAGGTACACCAAGGAAAACAGAAGAGGGTCTGTGCTGAGAGATCAGATGCCCCTTTGCGAGATCTGCTTTCTATCTCAGGAACAAGTCTCACACAATGTTTACCATTGAGAAGGCAAAAGAAATCTTCAAGGTTAGATTGTATTCGCTTTGAAAATTCCAGGGGTTCATTCTCATTCCTTATTTCCTTAAGACCCTGGGTCTTCAAAATAATTCCTATCACCTAAATCATTTTTCCATCCCTGACTGTCAACATTAGAAGCTCAGAAGTACGAACAGCCCCATTTTGACTTGGAGTAACTGCTAATTTTCACATTCTAATTCATGCCTAAGTTTGTGCTATACCTTTTCTACTTTATAGATCTAGCATAGCAACCACCAAGAGGAGTGAATAGTGATCCTCTTTAGAATGAGGTCCAAGAAATCCTTAATTCTCTACACAAGGCAGTAGAGTCTCACAAGAGAACAACTCCCTTAGAAGAGAAAAACGAAGTATGCTAGGGGTTCCTCCAAATGAGGATGGCCACATGATTCACGATGCATTTTCAGTGAGTCCAGGGTCAGAGGTTGTAGCTCCTTTTCACTAGTATTCTCATGAACACTAGTCTGCTTAAATGTGAGGACTTGAACTGTTCTAAAGGCTGGAAAATATAAGTTCTAGCCTCAAGGATAAGTCCAAAAAGTAATTGGACAGTCATGATCCTAAACCTATAGTGAAATGGCTGCGGTGGATATATAAAGAAACCAAACCTAGACACAGTTCCTAAAAAATACTTAAGGACTCTCCCTCAGAGTCATTTCTTCCACTCTGCTAGGGTCTGAGGGAAGAAGGAGGTCCAGAGGCACCATTGTTATGTAGGAAGGACTGAAGTGGGACTAACCCAAGCTCCCCTTCAGTATTTGGGAGAAAATAGGCAGGGTCTTGTAAAGCAAAAAGAATTTTACTTGATTCAAAGTAAATGCATGTGCACTGAAGTGTTAAACAAGAGACTGGCATGATCAATTATTTTTTTTATAACTGGCTGCAGGTTGGGATTAGAATAGTTAAAAACTTTCATAGAACTTGCTATTTGGTTACAGTGCTCAGCTGAAAGCTCAACTGGGACAATGGCAGTGGGATAGAGAGAAGTGGGCTCTCTAAGAAAGTGTAAAGTCTTACATAGCTAAGACTTAGTGATTAACTAGAGAAGTATGGGGAAGGTACTCATTCAAAGACAATACCAATATTCTTTGTTCTTTTCTTTTTTTTTTATCTTCATGAAGTCCCCAGTAGTAATTACCAATATTCTTGAACAACTGCATGGATGTGTTGCCTTCGACATAGGGAGGGAAAAGGGTGTATATGTGTGTGTATACATCTCATTTTGGACATGCTGACTTTGAGGTACCTGCACAACATTTGAATAGAAAGTCCCGGTAATTAATATGTACGTTTATAGGAGACTGAAGGTCAGCAGGAGGGTCTAGACTAGAGATAAAGTTTTGGGATATAGAATGTAACTGAAGACTAGAGAACAGATAACTGCCCAGAAAGAATATGCAGAATGAGAAGTCTCAGTTATGAAGATCATAGAAGGCAGGTGGAACTCAAAGTTCAATTAGATCTTAAACATCCTTGGGAATTGTCCTACTAGGATTAGAAATCAACTGTAGGGCTAAAAAACAGCATGTTCCTATAATGCAAAATAAGGGAATTGTTTTAGTTTGACAAAAAAAGCACACTGGTTCAAACATGACCTTTTCCTAGCATGTTGAAGTTTGGTTCCAAGAAAGAGCAGTTGAAGGCAAGTGCATGGAGACAGCCAAGTGCACAAGCCGTCCGTGTGGTACTCTCTCCACTGCCATGAAGACCATTCACCCCGTACTCTTCTTAGCTCAGGTTGACCAGATTCTGTTACAGAGATGCTGCTTTTGCGGCCTCTGTGTTTTGCCCTTGCCACCCTAACTTGGCAGACTCAACCCTTTCCCCAACCTCCTACCAAATAACTTTCACTTCTTGAAAAAGCTGAATCAACAGTTACCCTATATTTTTGTTTGTGTTGTTGTTAGAAGTTTATACGTCTTTGATTTCACATGTGGCTTTTTTTTTAAAGGTTGTTAACATTTTTATAAGCATCTGTTTTGAGTTGTATAGGGATTGAGTGTTCTACCCTAACACTTATAGAAGCACTATTATTTTTAGTACATTATTTTGGCAAAGTGAGGTGTCTTTTTGTTTGTTTTTAAGGAAAATACATTGCATGTAGCAGAAATGTCTATATATGGAAAAAATGCAACATTCCATCAAGATCAAACTCTCAATTTAAATGAAAGACACTTGAGTATGCTAAGAGCCAAGGACATGCAAAAATCTATTGAGTGATGTTTGCATATGTTACTAGGAGGGAGGGATGTTTCAAGCTTTGGCAATAGAAGCTAGAAGGGTTATGAGGTCACCAATGTGTGAATAAGAGTCAGTGAGCCCTGCCAGGGCCTCTGACAAGGTCCCAGTCAACATCCTTGTTGACATATCTGGTCATTATGCCACTTCAAGCAGGCTGCAAAAGAACTACAAAAAGAATAAATCACATAGGAAGGGATTCATCAGAATCACATGGTTTGATGTCAGTTTCCTCAGTGGGTGCAGAGAAGCATCCTGGGTGTCTGCACCTTTGAGCTCATACCCAGCTGAGATCTGCAGCCCAGGGCAATCTCGTTTAACCATTTCCTAGTGGGCTAGCATTTTCCAACTCAAATATCACCAACCTCTTCATGCTTTTTTTTTTTTTTTTTGAGACAGGATCTTGCTCTGTTGCCTGGGAGCTAGAGTGCCATGGCATGATCATAGTTCACCGCAACCTCGAAGTCCTGGATTCAAGTGATCCTCCTACCTCAGCCTCCCAAAGTCCTAGGGTTACAGGAGTACTCCTGGCTCACACTTTTGAATACGTAAAAACCTATTCAGTGTTGTTGGTAATGTTTAGGAGAACTTGGCTTATAGAAATAGCCATATAACAGCAATTTAAAACATACAATTGAGTCACTGATTTAGATTTGTCATTCTAAGTGTCATTCTAAATTATAAGTAGAGATCTAAATATATACAAAACATTGCAATGCTTAAGAATTTCAGGTTCACTATTTTTATAAGCCTGATTATCACTTATAAGAATTTCATGCTGAGGGAGTTTTATCCTAAGTCAGACAATTGAAGTATTTAAAGACACTGACTATGTTAAATTGATAACTATAGCCTGACTATATGAAATAATATGGCTTTATAAATGAGACCAAACATAACACCCTTTGAGTGGTAAAATTTGCTAGAATTATATAACAAGACTAAACTCACTCAAAAGTTTAGGGAAGCCTACTCTTGAGTTTGGCTTTATAAATATAAAACTTCCACATAGCATAAAAATACTGCCCTTGTGGCATCCCTACCTTTTATATAAATTCATATGATATGTAGGAAGGCCCATGATGGAGCCATGAAAACCATCATGTAAAACACTAACCTTTTCAAAACCTTAAAAGTTTTGAAAGAACAAGACAGAAGACACAGCTAGATGACAGGAGGAAACAGAGGATGCATTTGTCCTATACTTGGTAATTGCTTTCCCTTCAAACCAACAATCATCTTAAAGAATATTGGTTTCATTTATCTATTTGTCCAGCAATGATTCCCTCTAGAAATCAGTCTTAGGGACTGATGAAGGATCTCGGGGTGAAGGGCATTTTTGCTTTTCCCAGCCCCCCCCCCTTACACACAACACACACACACACACACACACACACATTTCCTGCCTCCTGAGCTCGAGCTGCCTAGGGAAATGTTTCCAGATCTCCTTGGATAATTAAATTCTGCCTCTCACATATAAACCTCATAGTCCTTTGTACCTCTCATTCATGGCCTTAGTCAGTGTTGCAGTTTATTTTTTGATTCTCCTGCATTAGACTGTAACTCTTATGCTGGTGGCGTACAGACTGCTGACCACAACTCATAGGAACAAAGACTCTGGCCTAACTGGGGTCAGGCAGCTCCTGGAGCACAGTTAGCCCTGCTGTGGAAAAGGCACGCTGAATCTTCTATTCTGTAAAGCTAGTTGTAATTCTAAACTGACACGGCTACCTGCAGGCTAGAAAAACTGCCCCAGGGGGTAGGGACCACATGTATATTTCTTCCTACACGGTTGCACTCTAACAGTTGTGTGCATGCAGAGACAGGCATCAGGTAGCTGTTGGATCAACAGAGGGCTAGATAAGCTCATCTTCTACCTGTATGTTGTGGTTCTCTTTAAGACTCCCTTTGAAGAAGGATTTCACTTCTTAAAGTGGAAAGCCAGTGGTAAGAATATATAAGGACCTGGTACAGGCTTTTGTAAGACTGAGAAGGGGCCATGCCACTAACTTCTACCGACGTGGATTTACACGGTTACCTGCTAATGGTCAAACAGGAAGCCTCCCCTGAATGGGTGAGAAGTGGGAGCAAAATAAAAAGTCAGCTGCAAGAATCTGTCCACCTAGGCAGGAGGCTACTCTACAGGGGATGCAGAATCTGGTCAGAAAAAACCTGAAACCAATAGCAATTCATGCTCATTTAAAAGGACGTGAAGACATTTAGTTCACTGTCTTATGTGGACAGGTATAGAGATAAGTAGGGTGAATCCTTAAAAAATAAAAACTTTGTATCCTCTAATGACTTTGTGATTCAAGGAGGGGTGTCCCCCTAGCAGGAGAAGGGGTAAATCTTATTTTTTTGTCAGGAAAAACATCCCAACGGAGTATATTCTTTTTCTAGGTTAAATTCTGTGTCAAAACCATTCTAGGTTTGTCTTGAGGCTATCATTCTGGTCTAATAAAATAATTTTGTGTTAAAATAGAATTCTTGATTTGTTTTCTGAATTCAATATGAGATTCAGGAGTTGCTTGGAGAATCCATCTCTAACCATAATTCTTTCTCCCCTCAGGCACCAAGCAGCTGTTCAAGGAAGTAAGTGTCTGTATCAGTTTTCTATTGCTTTGTAACAAATGGCCACAAATAGCATCTGAAAACAATATGCATTTATGAGCTCCCAGTTCCATAGGTCAGAAATCCAGCTTGCTATGGCTGGGTTCTCTGCTCAGAGTCTCAGAAGGTTAGCCAGGATGTATTGTCTTCAGTTTGGGGTCTTCTTCTAGGCTTACTTAAATCATTGACAGAATTCAGTGCCTTGAAGTTATAGGACTGGCTGAGGGCCCCACTTTCCTGCTGAGTGGCAGGTAGGGGTTGCTGTCAGCTCCCAGGGGCGACTCTTAGATTCATGCCATGTGTCCCCCCACCATCTCCCAAGCCACCAATCCCTCAGCTGAATCTCTCCTACCACGAGAAGCACAGTCCTTTTTAGGGGCTCACTTGAGTAGGTCAGGCCTAACTAGGGTAATCTTCCCTATGTTAAAGTCAACTAATTTGAGACCGTGATCACATCTGTAAAATCTCTCATATCTACACCCATATTAGTGCTTGTTTGTGAAAAACTGGGAGGTGTATTCGTATTAGGGGCTGAGAATCCTGGGGCCTTCTCAGAATTCTGCCCACCAGGGTCCATTCTCCGTCTCCCTGTATCTAAGGGAGGGCTTATTTATTGAAGGTGTCCAATGAGGAAAGCAAATAAGGAAAAAAAAATATTTCCTTGGCATGACCTCAACAGAGTAACTCTGGCTATGTTCACAGGCACCATTCCAAGATTATTAACTTTCCCAAGGTGGTTTTGAGAAGGCTCAAGTGTATGGCAAGGATGGTTACAATAGATGGGAAGATTTTCAGCTGATGCTCACTCTGCAGTGGTGCAGTTGAGGTGTCTTAGCGAGAACATGGGCCTGGAGTCACAGTGGTTCTAGCACTTTCCTACCAAGCTTGCAGCAGCTAAAACACCAAGGCTTACCCATGCAGGACTAAGAGCAAACGAAAGGACCTAGACATAAATATTGGTTTCCTCCTATTGTCTCTCTTTCCAGGAACTATCAGTTTTGAGAAAATGCTTTTGGTTTGCAGGTTACAAATATTGAGGTCATTTGTCCTTAAAGCCAAATAGTCTAGAAGGCAGAGCTAGTCTGAGCTCTTCTCCACAACTAATACTGCTCCTCCCATAGCTTCATCCCCTGTTCCTCAGCCACCTCCCATCCCCAGCACGGCCTCTGCCCCCTCAAAAATAAATCCTATAGTAAGCTGTTCCAGACCTTAACTTTGGGACAGTCAATGTGTTAGAGTTAGCCTCAGCTATGAGTGACAGTAAAAAGTAATGGCGGCTTCAATAGGGTGCAAGTTTACTCATTTAATATCTGGTAGGCACAATGAACTGCAGGACCCTGACTCCTGTTTCTTGTTTCTCTGACACGGGTAGCTTCCAACTTGCGGGATATTCGATGGCCCAGTTCCTACCATTGTGTGCACAGTGAAGGCGGGCTCGAGGGGAGCAAGGTACGGCCTCTCCCTTTAAGACATTACTTGGAAGTGGCACAAAACTTTGTCGTAGATCCCAGTGGCAGAACATAGGGACGCGTCCATACCTTGCTTCAGGGGGGAGGCTAGGGAATTTTTTTTTTTCTTCCCAACCGTGATGATGGATTTTCACTGTCAACACGAGCGGATCAAGGACTACCTAGAGACCTGGGAAAGCATTGTTTTGGGGTGTGGCCGTGGGGGAACCGGCAGTCAGAGGAGACTAGGGCGGGAGTGTGAGCGGGTGAGGTGGCGAAGCCCCGCCTCAGTGTGGGCAGATATCATTCCGCCCAGGGCCCTGAGGGAACAAAACCGATAAAGGCTAACCATAGTATCTACCTTCTGGAGCTGGGAGATATTTCCTCTCCTGTTCTCGAACATCAGAACTCCAGGTTCCCCGGCCGTTGGACTCCAGGTTACATCAGCTCCCCGGGGCCCGAGGCCTCCGGACTGGACCACGCGCCGCCACCAGCATCCCGGGCGCCGGCGTGCAGCCTGTGTATCGCGGGACTTCGCGGCCTCCATCTCTGAGTAAGCCAAGTCCCCCAGGAAACCCCCTCCTGTGTGTTTGTGTGTCCTATTGATTCGATCTCTGGAGAACCCTGACGAACATACCAGTGGATAGAACCTTGAATGAGAAAACAGAGCCCTCATCTCCCTTTGTCTCTAGATTGGAAGAGTGTGGTTAATAGACGTGTCAGCAGGACACGATAGACCGTCTTCACAGAGTCGATGATGCCGCCATCGTGGAGACTCAGAACGCTACCTCCGGAATGCATTTCGGGGACAAGCCTGTGGGAGAGAATCAGGACTAAGAAAGAGGTGTCTGTAAAATATCCTTGAGTAGAAAGAATAGCTCCTTCACCAGTGAGGATTTATAATTGCAGAAATGTTTGGCATGAGCGCCACTATATTTTCTGTTACCCGGTTCTTAGTATTAATATTAGTTCCTCACACAAAGCTTGGTACAAACTAGGAGGGGCTTACGATGCTATCAGACACCTCACTCTTTGTTTGCCTGTTTTGCCTTAAGGACTGTGCATCCTCTCTTCTTTTTCATTCCCACCTTACACACAGGGATCTTGAACCATTAACTATCGGCCCAGCCCACAGCCCTTTAAAAAGGAAACTTCTTTTAACTCACCTAAGGGAATAAAAACAAAAACAAAATCTGAATTAGGAGTCTGGGACCTTTACAATAAGCTGGTAGAATGATAGATGATTATTATCCTCCATGGAGTTTATAATTAGAATCATAATGCCCATGGAAATAGTTTCAGGCTAAAGAATAAATTAACTGGCTGTAACAATACTATTTACTTTCCTTCAAAATAGTAATCACCAAAATGTTTAAGCAATCCCTGTGTTCTACCCACTACTTCTAGGAAAGCATTGATAAATCAGGCATTCAATTATTCTAACAGTAATTTCAAGTATTAGATACACTGCTTTGGTAATAATCAGAAGATGCACTTAAGCTAGCATCGACACTAGTCAAATATAAGATTTAATAATATGAAGGAAACTTTTATTCATATGCGCATCATATAAACTGTGATTAGTATATACAACCCATAGATATTTCTGCCAAATTTATCCTCCCATACCTCCAAGAGGAATGATCATCTAAAATTACTTACAGACGAATTTCCATGGGAATTATTATGTTTTTGGGAAAAAAAATCTGAAGAAGCATCTAAACACAGGCAGATGCATCGTGTGTAAACTACTAAATTTAGAAAATAGGATTTTTACATGGCTTAGACAGCAGAAACCAGTTTATTTAGTCTTAAAATGTTTACTAACATATTTGTGTTCATAAAAACTTTTATAAAGAGATATCACCATAGGCTAGGCGAGGTGGCTCACACCTATAATCCTAGCACTCTGAGAGGCCAAGGCTGGAGGATTGCTCGAGGTCAGCAGTTAGAAACCAGCCTGAGCAAGAGCGAGACCCCATCTCTACTATAAATAGAAAGAAATTAATTGGCCAACTAATATATATAGAAAAAAGTAGCCGGGCATGGTAGCGCATGCCTGTAGTCCCAGCTACTAGGGAGGCTGAGGCAGCAGGATTGCTTGAGTCCAGGAGTTTGAGGTTGCTGTGAGCTAGGCTGATGCCACAGCACTCACTCTAGCCTGGGCAACAAAGTGAGACTCAAAAAAAAAAAAAAAAGAGATCACCATAAAATCTGACTTCAACATATGATCTTTACTACTTTTCGATAATTTCCTGTTTATTTCCATTTTCTTGAGAGGAATGTTAAAAGTTCATGAGATATGTCTTGAGATCCGTGACTCATTCATAATTTTATTTGTTTTTTGACAGTGAAAAAAATCACACTTCTTCAGTAATTTTTTTTAATCAAAAGGTTTCCTGTGTAAAAAAAATCTTAACACATTAAACTGATCTGTGTTCCCTATGTTATTACTCTAGCCCTATGAAAGCATCTCATGATAAATTGTAATGCAAATTTGAGGTATCTTCTTCTTTTTTAATAAATTGGTAAAACATTTGGTTAACACTTAATTGGGTAAGGTAGGATAGTAGGAAAGGATTATGAAATTTGGCACCAGACTGGCTGGGATTCAAATCCCACACCTGCAATTTTCTTCACCCAATGCTCGTGCTCAATTACATCCTCTTTGCTTTACCAGCTGTAGGTGTATTCTGATACTACCTCCCTCACAGGACTGTGGGATGTAGGAAGAGTTTAGCATGCTTTTTTTGCACTGTTTTTAAAATTATCTTAAAATAGCGAATCTTCTAGAATTAATAATTTATTTACCTTACAACTAAGATAGGCTTTAAGAGACTTCACAACGTGAGAACTCTGTCCTTCGATGCAAAGATTATATAGGTTGGCTATCAAAATGAATAAACTCAAGAGTTATGAATTATGAAGATCAGAGGATGGTTAGAAAAAGTGATAGAATAAGGGACATCTTCACAGATGTTGGCTGTACCGAGATTTGGAAGAGAAAGGAAGACTGGATAGAAAAAAATCAAAGAGTAGAAAAAGAGGCTGCCCTGGCTGAGGAGCAGGGGACACACAGGAATGAAAGTGGTGCATTCCTAGAAGACTGGAGAATTAGGAGTTGGAAATGGGAGTAGGTGTAGAATATTGAGATAAGATAAAGGGTGTGCTTGAGATTCCATAGGGAAGGACAAAGTTTTGAAAGATCAGATAGCCAGGCGGAAGACTTCTCATTATCCTGTGGGGGGTGGGGGATCACTGGTTTAATTAGCATCGTGATTGATTAATTAACTCGATAAAAATCTTTCAGGTACGGAACTACAAAACTTAGTAAACTGTGCAGATTTCGTCTTCACCGAGGCCAAATATGAACTATTTCAGATTGTCCCTCAACCTCCAGGCAAGCACAAATTCCGTAGTCAGGCATTTATCTTTACTCCTGATTTTCCTATCTACCAATAATGGAATGATCACTTCCTTCAGCAGACATTCTAGACACTGACCATGAAGTAAGGCATTATTCTCTAGTAAAGATGTTTAACAGCTTAAAATAAAATGGTATGGCTAAAGGAGAAAACACAACATTTTAGAGTATTAACTTCAAGATTTTCTTCCTGTGAAATTGCCAGCTTATGGGTGAGAATCATTTAAAAAAATACTTAAGGGGCTAGATGTGTTAGGCACTCACAGTACAAGGTACTGGGGACAGAACAAAGAACAAGATACTCACTCAACCAAAGAGTTGAAACTCCAGATCCAGAGTCCGGGCTGTTCAGCAGTTTCTGGGAACCTCTTAGAGTTGTTAATTCACAGACCCCACCCTAATCTACTCAATCAGAGCTCCTGGGGGTGGGACCAAGAAATCTGCATTTTAATAAAGTCAGGTGATTCCAAAGCTCCCTGAGAGTCTGATAATCACTGGGTAGATTAATTGTAGAATATGATTTGAAACTTCACAGATGCCTCCCTGGTGGTAGAGGGAGGGGCTGAGCGAGCAACAGAGCAGCTGAAAGGTCTTCACTTTCCATAGTTGCAGCTACTTTCCCTAGAGGAAAATACCCAGGATTACTACAAAGAAAGTAAGTGAGCTTTGCTCTATATATCATGGTTTTCTTTCTTAATCGTGGCTTTCTTTAAATTCCTAAACTCGATCTTAGTATGGAAGCTTGTCAGGATAAAAGAATAAGTGGGGAAGCCAAAGGCAGGGCAAAGAAAAAAAATTAGAAAAAAAAAAAATAAGGGTAGTTATGAATTTAGCAAATCTTGGGGAAACATTGTGCTTCAACAGCCCTGGTTCTCTTGGTTTTTGTAAGAGTATTTAATCTCTGTCCTGTCCTCTGATTTCACCTTAAATTTTTGCTGGTTTGACAAGACAAGATCGTTTTGGGTTTTTTTTGAGTCAGGGTCTCACTCTGTCACCCTGGGTAGTGTGCAGTGGTGTCACGTAGCTCACTGCAGCCCCCAACTCCTGGGTTCAAGCCATGCTCCTGCTTCAGCCTTCCTAGTAGCAGGGACTGGCAGCGCGCACCCCAAGGCCTGGCTAATTTTTCTACTTTTTGTAGAGACAGAGTCTAATTCTTGCTCAGGTTGGTCTTCTACTCCTGACCTCAGGGTCAGGCGTAGTGCTCACATCTGTAATCCTAGTACTCTGGGAGGCCGAGGCGGGAGGAGCGCTTGAGCCCAGGAGTTTGAGGTTGTAGTGAGTTATGATGATACCATTGCACATTACCCAAGGCGATAGCTCTGTCTTAGACAAACAAACAAACAAACTCTTGACCTTAAGGCATCCTCCCACCGCCTCAGCCATCCTATGTGCTAGGATTACTGACAAGAGCCACTACGCCCAACAGAATATCTTTATGCATCTAAGGAACTTAGTCTTTTTGCGGATGGAAAGTGACACACAAATTTGTTCTTAGATTAAATTAGTTAGCTACAAAGAAAATAAAATGAGGATATGACTAATGGGGAAGGTATTTCAGATTGAGTAGTATAGATCCAGGGCAGTTTTAGATGTTAATTTGGGGTGCTTATTTAGACATTCAATTGCAAAAGAGCTGACACCTTTGTGTCCAGCAGGGAGATTTAAATTGGAGAGTGAAACTTAAATCTTTGGAAAAGAATGAGATTACCTAGGGAGAGACTGTAGGACTGGAATTCCAGACCAGAACTGAATTCTGGAGCACACTAAGATTTAGAGGTTCAAGAGGAGGCAGAGACAAAAACAGCCATTGGGAACCAGACCAGTCAAGTAGGAGGGACATCCGCTCCAGGATCTTAGTAGACAAGAGAAGTAAATAATGTTCCAGGAGAAAGGGCACAGTGTGCTGTTAACTTGCTGGGAACTCAAGGAAAATTTGAATTGAATTTATTTATTTTGGTGACTCGGGGGAGTCACCCTGGACATGTTTAGGGAGGCAAGAGCAGGGAAGCTACCAGGGAGTTGAAAGCCAAGCAGAAGAAAAAATTAGAGCACATTCAAACAAATAAACAGAAAATATTTGCAATTTTTATAATATACAAGGGGGTACTCTTTTTTTTCTTTTGGCAAAGAGTCAAGAACTCATGAAGCTACTCTTTTAGATCTATAAATATCTTTTAAAATTGACCAGAAAACAAAGGCCAAAAACCTGATAGAAGAAAATAAGAGGCTTGACCATAGGGTTCACAGCAAAAGAAATAAAAGTGGTTCTTTAAGCATATGAAAATAAAAGCTTTACACATAGTAAAATAGCTGAAACTTGAAAGTGTATGAAGATACTATTTCTCACCCCAGCTGGTAGGCAATAATCCAGAAGTTTAATACCTTTCTCATATATTGCCTGGAGTGCAAAATTGTATAACCCTTGTGGTTGGGAAACCAACGTAACATACCAAAATTATAGATGCATTTATCTACAATTCCATTGCCTTTTAAGGAATATGTCTTTTAAGGCCAAGATTTCCACCTTTTTTATTTAGGATTCCTTTGCATTTAAGTTATTGATGAAGAGCTCCATAAGTTTTTTTTTTTTTTTTTTTTTTTGAGTCAGTGTCTGTAGCCTGTACTACAGTGCCATGGCATCTGCCTAGCTCACGGCAACCTCAAACTCCTGGGCTCAAGTGATCTTTCTGCCTCAGCCTCCTGAGTAGCAGGGACTCCAGGCATGTACCACCATGCCCGGCTCATTTTTTCTATTTTTTGATAGCGACAGGGTCTCGCTCTTGCCCAGGCTGGTCTCTTGCCCAGGCTGGTCTCGAACTCCTGAGCTCAAATAATCTGCATGCCTCAGCCTCCCACAGTGCTAGGATTATAGGCGGGAGCCTCTGTGCCGGCCCTTTGATCTGCAGTTCTAGCAGTGGACTTTGTACTCTGTTTCCTCCCCCCCTGGTCCTGTAGTTCCTCAAGTGCTTGTTAGAACTGTGCTTTTATTGAGCACTTTTTTTTCTAAATGACCTACAAGGAAGTGTTGTATTATGCTGCTGCTAGTCATTAATTTTCAGCCTGTTGCTCAAGATTGTCAGAAGATTTGGGAGAGCCCCTCTGATCTTAGAATGCTGGCATAAGTCTGTCTCCTTCCCCAAGCACGTGGCTGCCAAAGAGCTGTTGGATTTGAGAAGTCCGGGGTGCCCTGACCTCCTCTATCAGTGTGGATTGTTTCCTTGGGTCTTTGTGGACCCTGACGCTGCCAATTGTGCCTGTTCCAGAAAACGAAGGAAGCCTGCCAGTCTTTTCCTGTTCAGCGTGCAGGGAGGTAATCCACATCAGAAACAAATAGTCCAGTCTTCCACTAGGGGCATCTACCAAGATGTCCAAAAGGTTCAGCCACCAGTTGCAGCACAACATCACAGAAGATGCCTATTGTAAGACACACCTGGAGCCAACCCAGCTGTTCTGTGAGGATGACCAAATCACACTGTGCAGCATCTGCTTCCAGTCCAAGGAGCACAAGCATCATGTGGTGTACAGGATACAAGAAGCCGCCAAGAATTACAGGGTAAGCTTGACACAGATCCCAAAATATTCTGGCCAGCTACTCTGATGGATGATTGACTGACTGATTGGACAGATACCCTGATTCTCCAAAACCATTCATTCCCTTAGTTAATGTTTATTAAAGAATACCAGACAAATTCATATTTAGTGGAACCTTCAACTTCAAGGCTAAGAAAACATAGAGCTATTGGCTTTTTAGTTCTTTAAGGTTAGGACTCCATTTGTTCTAAAACAATTAACTCACCTGGAATTCTGTGCTCTCCTTCTCCACAGAAGTTACTCCAAGAAATATTGAACACACTGAAAGAGAAACTTGAAGTAGCTAAAAGCTTATTGGCTGATGAGCAAGAAAGAATGATGATGGTTCAGGTCAGTGCTTACCTTGATTCTTAGGAGAAAATTACCAATAATGTTAGATAGCAAATAAGTTGTAAGCAAAGTCAAAAGACAAATTACAAAGCAGAAAAAATCTGAAATCCATAAGTAGGAAAAGTGCTAATATTAACACATAAAAAGCTCTTAAAGTCAATAAGAAAAAGACTAGAAATTTAATAGAAAAATGATCAAAGAAACGAGTTTTGCAGAAAAAGGGCAAATATCTTTTAAACACATAAAAAGTTTCTGAACTTTGCTCATGGTACGAGAAATACAAATTAACTATATTAAATTGATAGATGGCATTTGCAACCCTTATTGGCAATGATCAAAAAAATTAATAACATGGTTCATAACAGTGATATAGAATGAGCACCTCTAATATTTTTGGTGGCTGTATAAATTGTGCAGCACTTTAAAGATTAACTTCAGAATTGCTATTCAAATTGAGAGTTTACCATCTGTTAGCCATGTTTCACTTCTAATTTCAAACTATGTCTTTATTCTTATTCTGTGCCAGGTAGCACAGATTTTAGGTATTCTCTCTCACTTTTTCTTTATTTTTTTTAGATGGGAGGATCTTGTTCTGTTGCCCAGGCTGGACTGCAGTGGTGTCATCATAGCTCACTGCAGCCTCAAGCTCCTGGGCTCAAGCGATCCTCTTGCCTCAGCCTCCCAACTAGCTGGGACTACAGGTGCGCACCACCGTGCACGGCTAATTTTTCTATTTTTTGTAGGGATGGGGGTCTCACCATGTTGCCCAGGCTGGTCTTGAACTCCTAGGCTCAAGTGATCCTCCTGTCTTGACCTCCAAAGTGCTGGGATTACAGGTGTGAGCCACCGTGCCCAGTCCTCTTTCACTTTTTAAAGAAAATAAATATCCAGTTGGGGATGGAAAGAAGAAATGCCTGTCTAGATAAGAATTTTTCAAACTGATCCCATTTTCTTCAGCCCCAAGCACCACATGTTCAATAGATATTGAAGTCCCACTATTTGCCAGGGACAATGCAGGGTGCTAGGGGTCCATTATTAGGACAAAAAAAAAAAAAAAAAACCACCACAAACAGTTCTGCTTTTGTGAACCTTACATTCTAGTGGATGTAAACAAAATAAGTTTAATGTACAGCATGTTACATGGTAAGTGCTATAAAATTTTTTTAAAACAGGAAAGAGGTGGGATGCACTTTTAAATAAAAGCAATCAGGACCTTGTCATTCAGAAAGTGGCACTTGAGGAGACTCAAGGAGGCAGGGGATTGAGCCGCGTGTTGGTTGTGGGGGAGAATATTCTAGGTGCAGGGAATGGCAAGCGCAAAGCTGCGAGGCTGGTGTGTGCCTGGCTGGGGTGTGTAGTGGCAGTGGGGGCTGTGGCTGGTGCAATTAGAAGAAAAGGGGCCGGTCATTTAGGGCAGCTGACCTTCAGTGACCCAGGGACACTACTGGAAGGTTGTGAATGAAAGAGCCATATGACTTAACTTCCACTTTCACAGAAACACTCTAGCTGCCGAATGAAGGGGAGGGTGGAAGCTGAGGTGGGGAGATCTGGAAAGGGACTGCCGTGATAATTAGGGTAAGGTGGTGGTAAGCTAGGAGTGTGGGTAGCAGAGAGGTGGTGAGAAGTGGTTAGAGCTGGAAAGAATACATTGTGGTCAATGTAAGGTAGATATAAGACATAAATATAGATCATCTATCTGTCACATTTAACCTGAAGTCTATCACATCTATATCTATGAGGAAGGAAGAAGAACAGAATTATAAAGAGATGATTGAGTCTGAATATAGAACGAGGCTCCGGTTGTTGAGTGAAGTGAATGAGCTAAACTTCCAGAGACTACCAGGATGCACATCTGACTTAAATTTGGGAGAAGCCGGTCCGAATCAATTGATCGGGTTTGCTACAGAGCTAGAGAAGTCCTCCCAGGAAATGCTACAGGTGAGATGTTGAAAACAACATCCTCATAATGTTAATATTTGAGAAATGAGAAAAAGAAGAGCTGAACATTATGTCAATTCCAGAGTGAGACATCCGTGACAACCACAGATGTGTTAAATGAATGTATAGACCCGCCTCGCAATTCTATTCCTATGAATTTATCCTACGTGCATATAAAAAGACACATAGGTAAGGCAAAATATAGCTATAAATATATTTGTATATATATTACTACATTATACTGCAGATATATTTATACACCTGTAGAAAGACACATGGGCAAGCAACGCTATAAAACTGAGTGTCAATGTAGGGCCATGGGTTATTAGCATTAACCTGTGAAGCCAGATAGATGGAGTCCTATCTGTGTTCTGCTACTTACTAGCTCCTGAGTGGTCTTGGACCTCTTGTTTCACCTCTGTCTCAGTTTCTTTAGCTATAAAATGGAGATAACAGTGGCCCCTAATTCATAACATTGTTAAGAGTTTTGAGTGAGATAATCTATGTAAAGTTCATTAGTGTCTTGTACCTATTAAGCAATCAATAAGTAGTAGGTATTGTTACTATAATAACACTTATAGATAGCAAGAGATTAGAAACGTCTATATCTGTCAATATAAAACTCACATAATAAATTGTACTACAATACATAATATGGAATACTTGTCAACATATTAAAAGGATATCGTAGCTCTGTGAATACGTGTAAGGAGCACTCTCCAAGAAAAAAATAAGCTTTCATTAGCAATAGAATATAATATGTCATCATTGATTTTTTTTTTCCTAAATAATCATGTCCTTATGTGACTAGGTGGAGTGTATATTTGGAAGGATAAAAAGGAAACTGATACCAGTGGCATAATTATTTATTCCTTATTAATTTAAGTTAATGAAAAGATAGAAAATATTATGTCCTTTAGGTGCACGTTGCTAATCTGGGTAAGTGGAATATGCGTACACATGCCCACATCAACTTAAACACGTGCCCATTAGATGTCAAAGAATCAAGTTTCTACTGAGAGGTGTCCTGCCTGACACAGAAGGTTATCGTGGCCTTACCTAATTATGTCTGTTTCTGGGGTGGCAGGCAGGAGCACAAGTTTCTGTAGATTCGGTTGAATTAGGGAATAAGAGAAGTTACTGGTTGTCGAATAGTAATAAAGAGATATTTCTGCAGAGACTGAGCCATGTGGGGAGAGAGAACATGAACAAACTGAAGGAGAGCGAGGTCAGAGTTTCTGAGCAGATCTGCAGCCTCCAAAGGGTCACTGCGGAGCTTGAGAAGAAGTGTGGGGAGCCCGCCTTGCAGTGCTCAAGGTAAGACTCTGGGAAAAAACCCTTTATTGTCTGAGAAAGGAGACATGGACAGTGCTCATTAGGGTCTCTCCCAGAACACAATCTCCAGTGGTCTGCAGCCATACAGAAAGGTCATGTAGCTAGTTTCCAGTTGTAAATTATCAACAGTAAGTTTGAAGTGAGATGTGCCTCAGTATGTTAAGTAATTAATGCACCCATACAGTGGGACATTCTGCAACCACAGAGTAGAGAACAACTCTATATAGGCACTAAAATAGTATTTTCAAGGTAGCTCATTAAGTGAGAAAAGAAAGACACAGAACTAATTGCTTTCTGTTTGAATTTTAGAGAATATTATATAAAAATACATGTATACATTTGTGCTTGTTGACTTTGGCAAAAGGTTATCGCAAATCACGCCCATTGTACTCCTTGGTAACCTTTGGAACCAAGGATGAGAGTTATTTGTATAGTATCTGCTATGTTCTGAATGTGCTCTTCTAAAATATATATGTTGAAATCCTCCCCCTCAAGGTGATGGTATTAGGAGGTGAGGCTTTGGGGAGGTGATTGGGTGCTGGGGGCAGAGCCCTCACAAATGGGATCAGTGCCCTTATATTAATAAAAGAGGCCAAGAAAGACCTCTCACCCCTTGGGCCATGTGAGATTAGAATGAGATGAAGCCTCACCACTGGGGATCAAGCCTCCACCAGGCATCTAATCTGCCAGCACTTTGATCTTAAAATTCCCAGCCTCCAAAACTGTGAGAAATAAAATTTTGTTGTGAATAAGCTACCCAGTCTGTCTATGGTATAATATGTTGTTATAGTGGCCTGGATAGACTAAATATTGTATACTTTAAATTTTATGCAGTAACATATTAATATATTGCCTTTTCAGAAAGCAAGTTACTATCTTTGTAAGATTCTGTCCATATCCCTCTGCCAGGTCCATATTGCAATGTTAGTGCATTTGGAGAGCCCCTATAAGCAAACCCTTAGGAAACAGTTTAGTTCCAGTGCCAAGCCCAGCTCCAGACAGTGCCGGCGGGTGTAGCTAAGCTTGGTTCCTGACCGGGCTCTCACTTCCCTCCCAGCCTAGCAAGCCACCTCCAGCTTAGAAAGCAAATAGATGGGTGTCATTCGAAGAATGAACATTCTAATAAGATGGCTGAGCTGAGGTATAGAACATAACAAAATGGGAATGTAATAAAATGATTTCAAGTGTTTTCCTGACTTTTCCTACTCCATATTAAAATTTGATGTCTAAAAATTAGCACCATGACACTGAAGTAATTACATGGAAATTGATTTTATTATTGCAAGAAATGCTATTTTCATGGGCACAGCTCACAAAAGACTTAGCTCAAATACCCAGTAGTAACGTTGTCTCTTTTTTTCCCCTCAGAATGCAAGACATTGTTTGGAAAGGTAAGTTTTCATTTGGAAACAGTTGAGTCAGAATCCGAGGCTGATGGGTTAAACACTTAAGATGCTGGGCTTGAGTTGGGAGGTCATGTATGAGATCCGTACATGAGATGAAGGGGCCTGCAATCTGTGCAGATGACTGACACTGTCCTTTCTTTATAGGGGTGAGTCACTACTGCTTCAGTGTCTAGAGCCTGCTCCCATCACAGACCTGAGTTTATGTCAAACACTAGGAATGAGCCAAATACTAAGAGCGTTCCACAGACTCATAACTTTGGATCCCAAAACAGCTCATCCCTGCCTGGTCCTGTCTGAGGACCTGAGGAGAGTGAGACTTGGAAGTGCCCAGCAGGATGTGCCTGGCAACCCAGGGAGATTCGACTTCGGGGCCACTGTGTTGGGTCTGGAAAGCTTCACCTCCGGGAGGCACTACTGGGAGGTAGATGTGGAGAAGGCCACCAAGTGGCAATTGGGCGTATACCAAGACTCTCCAAACAGAAAGGGCACCGTGCCCACATCCTCTGGAGATAAAGTCTTACTCATGGGGTCCATGATGGGGACTGATTATACCTTCTGGGTTTTCCCCCCTCTGAAAAGGGTTTCCCTGAGAAAGCCAATGCACAAAGTTGGAGTTTTCCTAGACTATGAATATGGGCACATATCATTCTACAATGTGACAGAGAGAACCCTCATTTATAATTTCTCTCACCTCTTCTTCCAAGGATCTCTTAGGCCTATATTTTCTCTTTGTATCCCAAATTGAGACACAAATTCAGACTCTCTCACTGTCTCCCCTCATCACATTCCTTCTTGTTACTGTTAGCCCTTAATCTTCCTGTGTGGGAAACCCAAGACCACAGGAGCTCAGAAAGTTAAAAGCAAGACTTTGTGAAATAATGTATATAAAGTAAATCCAATAAAAGAGTTCTGTAAGTTGGATCCAGTTTAATACTCCATAGCCTTTGTGTTCTTGTGACTTTCAACACCTGTTTAGTGAAAGAGGTTGCATTTAAGCTGAATCATGAATAATAACTGAAAGACCCTACACTAATTAGAACAAATGCATATGCATCATAGGATTGGGGAATTGGAGAAGAAATATGGCCTGGGGTCCTTAGAAGTAGGTTAGGGACTTTGGACATATTTCTGAAAACATTTGCAGAAACAGCTGTAATCAGGAATGAAAGCAGGAGTTTAGATTTAAGTGTACCATCCTAGTGCCCTGAGGATGGAGACATCCTGTCACTGACAGTAAGTCTCTAGACTTCTAAGTTCCAAATAGAGAATAATAACTTAATTTCCCTGGATATTTTATCTGGGTAAGGAGAAGGAATTATGGAAAGTATGAATATTTTAAAATTATTTTCCAAGTATTCTTTTTCTACTTCTCTTTCTGACAAGAAAAATTAGATTTCTTAAAATAAGCCTGAATAGTTCAATGCTCTGAAACACATAAGTATTACTGTAATGATGTCTTATCTTTGCTCTCTTCCTCTATCTGGTGATCCACTAACATAACAACCTATAAGTATATATTAATCTTATTACTCATATGTGGGAACTGATACTCTGAGAGCCAATTTAATTTTTCTGAAGTCGTGTAGCTGTTAAGTAACAGCTTAACAAAGCTGGAAGGAACAAAGATAAGCAATCAAATCTAGATCATCATATCAAAAAGCAAGCTCTGTCCAGGCCCCTGTTGCATAGGAATCTATTAGGATAAGCATGACTAGGTAGGACAGTGGTCACATTCTATTTGAATTTCCTAAAAACGCAAGCCACTGTCCACAGAGAGTAAATGCAGCATATGGTTTAGGAATTCAGTATTCTGTAGGAATACTCTGGGGGATGGCAGGGTGGCCAAGTTCTTAAGGATGGGCAGAGGAACAGACAGCAAAGGCAAGTGTATGAAAATCACTCCAGTTGACTCATAGGGGTCCAGGAAGTTGTAGAGTCTTATTTATCTATCTTTGGGGGAAAGATTTTTAATTGGCCAGTTAAATTCTCAAAATTTGCTATTAAACTGTACGGATTTTTTTTTTTTTTTTAAAGATGTACACTCAGAAAGAGTCATTGGGCGTCTTCACACTGAATCACAAGAAGCCTTGGGGGAAAGAGGCCCTGCTCTGAGAAGTGGGGGTTAGGTCAGGTAATTGAGTTGGAAGTAAGATAATTATTTAAAACACTGAGGTTAAGAATTCAGAGCAATGGCTCTCAAACCCCTTCCCAGTTTCCTGAGGAAATAATAGTGATAATTCATTATATGGGGAAATGTGAGACAATTTAGCAATGTATCCTCTGTGATTAATGTTTAAAATCAAATGTGGGGCCGGGCGCGGTGGCTCACGCCTGTAATCCTAGCTCTCTGGGAGGCCGAGGCGGGCGGATTGCTCAAGGTCAGGAGTTCGAAACCAGCCTGAGCAAGAGCGAGACCCCGTCTCTACTATAAATAGAAAGAAATTAATTGGCCAACTAATATATACAAAAAAAAAATTACCCGGGCATGGTGGCGAATGCCTGTAGTCCCAGCTACTTGGGAGGCTGAGGCAGGAGGATTGCTTGAGCCCAGGAGTTTGAGGTTGCTAGTGAGCTAGGCTGACGCCATGGCACTCACTCTAGCCTGGGCAACAAAGCGAGACTCTGTCTCAAAAAAAAAAAAAAAATCAAATGTGTACGTGTCTCCATGGCTAGCTACTGAAAGTTAGAGGCTAAAAAAATACTTTGCATCAAACATTTGCATTGCCATACAACCCACAATACAAATTGTTTAAAATAACCTAGACCAGTGGTTCTCAAAATTGCCTTCACCACCATGGGAACATTTGGTGACATTTGGAGACATTTTTGGGTTGTCACAACACCAAGAGTGGTGCTACTGGCACCTATCAAGTAGGGGCCAGGGGTGTTGCTACATACCCTACAACGCACAGCACAGACCAGCAAAGAATTACGTGGCTCGAAACACAGTTGTGCTAGGCTGAGAAACCCTGAGCTAGACCAACAATCATTGCAAGAAGTAAGGATAGCACACTTTGAAAACCCAAATCATCCTTTCTCCAAAGTGCAGGAATTCCTAATGTACCCATTTACCTCAGAGCTTTGTAAATTTATTAATTTGTTTATTATCTTAGAATATTGAAATTAAGACAAAAAGGAAATTAACATTATATTGACCTTAATGTAAATATGATAATTGATAACTGCTTAGTAGATTATTAGCTATAGACTTTGATCACAATTCTATACATCTTCATTTTTTTATTGATTTCTAATATCCAAAAAACTATCATTCCAACTAATTCCTCACCCTGCAAGACCCCCCCATAACCTCCCACCAAGAAGCTAAACCTTATTAATATCTTTCCCTGATTTCTCCATTTTGAGAGATTAATAAAACTGTCAGAGTTGTGTTCTCCTTTCTACAAAAAAGCCCTACTTTATAGCTTTGATCGACAGTGTTTTTGGATGGTCTTTCTAGGAGTCCAACAGTGAACATTTCTCATCTTTTGAAAAACAAGCTACAAATTCTCCTTCACCTATTCTTTCTCCTTTTCTGTTGCAATAAGCCAATTTTTTCTACCTTGTATTGCCTTCAAATTCTTTCTAGGCTTTTAGGAAGTCCTAATGTATAGATCAGGGGTTGGCAAACTTTTTCTGTAAAAAACTAGTTAATACTTAAAATGACTCCTAAATTTACACATTCATGCTCTGAGTAATAATGTTTAGGTCAGTGATGGACCTTATACATGATGGTGGCCCCATAGGATTATAGCACCATATTTTTACCATATCTTTTCTGTGTTTAGATACACAAATACCATTGTGTTAAAGTTTTCTACAGCACAGGTTTGTAGCCTAGGAGCAATAGGCTATGCCACGTAGCCTGGGTGTGCAGCAGGCTGTACCATCTCAGTTTCTGTAAGTACACTCTGATGTTCACACAACAGCGAAATCACCTAACATGCATTTTTCAGAACGTGTCCCTTTGTCAAGCGATGCGTGACCGTGCTTCTAACCTATGCATCCAACGGGATGACGCCCTCCTCGTGGGAGGTGGAAAATAATCTCAGCTATTACAATGGGTTGCACCCTGCAAGAAGGCCCAGTACATAGACAGATATCCAATATATGTGTGGTAGTAAAATTTCATGGGGGAGGGAGTGATTAGAAAAAAAAAATTCTAAAATGTCCTGGGGAGGGCGGTGGGGGAGCACCAATGACAAAAAGGTTGAGAAACATTACTCTACTCCAGGAGCCCCTTTTTGAGCTTTCTACCAGTGTGAGTAACTTTCCCACTTGTCTTATAATACCTCAGAGTCTTCACTTTCCTACTAAGCCTGATGGTCATCCTATGTTCCCAGAAATGTTACGTTCCAACACACTCACACAGCTTTCTGCTTTCTCCACCCTCAACCACTGTCTGGGCGAGTCTCCAGCACCACTAGCCTGGTTCCTCCATTTCTCACTAACGACACAGGTAAGTTTCTACACAGCAGCCACAGTGAGCTCTTTGAATTGTGAACTAGGTAACGTCGTCAGGCCGACAGTCCTACAGTGGCATCTTGCTGCTCTAAGAATAAAGGCGAACCCCTTTCTCTGCCCACGTAGCCCTGTGTGGTCTGACACCCTACCCTGTCCCCTCAGCCTCCACAACTGGACCATTAAGAACTGTGATCCCAAACTTGGAAGCCAAAAGAGAAGCGGCATGTCCTTGCATTGTCACGCTGGGACACTTTTTAACAAGCACGGGATGATTTACATTCTCTATGTACCTATTCTTGACTTTATTTACCATTTGCCAAGAGCCCAGACACTACTCAGTTGCATGTTAACTTGTAGAACTGCCTGGTAGAAAAGAAATCTCAAAGATTCTGGTTTTATTGCCCTATGGGTCGTTAACTAGTTTTGTGTCTAACATAGGCAGTCTTATTTGTAACATTGGTTTGTATTCCTGCTGATCTGCAGAAGTTCTGCTTCTCAATCCTAGAACTATACTGTCTGACTAGTTCCCTAGCTAATTACTAAGGTGAGTAGAATGTTTGACACAGGTCCCTCCATATCTGTATGAGGCTCTGGTGTTCAAACCTTTGAAAATAATACCTTAGCACAGCACAGGGGAGCCCAAGGAATCTTCCAGCCACAAGGGCTTTGCACATTTGCTTCCTGATACTTCAGTCATTGCTGTCTCCTATTTTTGTGCTAATTCCTGCTGAATTTTCAGTTTTTAGCTTAAATGTTACTCCTTAACACTTGAAGCCTCCCTTGACATCTTTAATAAAAAAAGA